GTTTGAAAGGCTGTAATTTATGAAATGCTGAAATATTGACATTTTAAATAAAACCGTCATGTCATTCTTTTAAATGCATCCTAATGAAACTTAAATGCCATATAAGTTGATATCCAGTGTCATCGATTAACGAATAAGCTCTTCTTTAAGGTCTGAATATAGTATGTTTCAATTTTCTCTTTGAATTCTTATTTTCCTTCCAGAATTTTATACTATATTTTTATATCAAATTTTTTTTAACTTATTGATTCTAGAGAGGGGGAAAGGAGAGAGAGAGAAACATTGATTTGTTGTTCCACTTATTCCTTGGTTGCCTCTTGTATGTGCCCTGACCAGGGACCAAACTCACAATCTTAGTGTAGTGGGATGACGGTCTAACTAACTGAGCTACCTGGCCAGGGCCTCTGTATCAAATGTCTTATTCATTACTTAATTTTATTTAAACACATAGCACTGCGACACAGAATTAAAATATTTTTTCTCGCTTTCTGCGACCCTAAGGCTCTATGTATTACAATTTCTTCTGGATTAAGTTATCATTACTAATATTATTACAACATAATTAAGCAGAGTAATATAAATATATTACAATTCTTAATAACTGTTAAACATAGAAAGTAAAATTTTTACTGAAAATGCATCCTTTAATAAAACAGAGGGAAATGAAGAAAAAAGCTGATCATGCATTCATGGAACACTATTACTTTTGCCTATTCTTTTTGTTTCTCTCTCTCTCTTTCTATGGCCGTCAGTGCTGAGAAATTTTGATCACATAATTTAGTAGGTGGAAATGGAGTTTTATTACAGCAGTGTCACTCAATTCTTTGATCTTCTTCCAAGTTATATGCCAAAAGTCCAGTAATTATCTTAAGTTATTTTCAATGATCTATCAGCAGAAATTCTACATGGTCCTATTTCCATTTTGTTGAAAGCAAGGAACTGGAATGATCTTACTTTGCAAATGAATGAGTCACCAAGTGATTAGAACGGTTTACTTTTTTTCAAGTTGTCAATATCAGCATTTCTAATTGTCCCTGAATATGGCACCTCTGAGATTTTTACTTCCATGTCAAAGTCCATAGTGAGATTTTGGGTAGAAGAGAAATATTCTTTTCATTTGTAAAGCAAGAGGGTGTAATTTTGAGCAAATTTCTCAGTCATATCAATTTTTAAAAGGAGCATATATGAAAGTTCAAGTCCTGGAAATAGACTTCCTGGAAAATCTGTATCTGTCCCTTGCACACCACAGTTTAAAGACAACTATGTTAGGTTACCCTGTTGCCTTAAGTAACTCGGTATTCTCAACGTCTTGTATTTAAAGTGCAATAAACCAAGATATCAAAGAACCGTCCTGAGTCCTACCAAGATAGAAAGCAGACGCATTATATTTCACCTTTAGGTGGGTGTAATGACTATGAAAGCGCAGAGTTGTGACAATGAGACAACAAACGTTATGTACAGGACTTAGTATAGGTAGTTCACAGTAAAAGTAGCTTAAGAACAAAAAACTATGATTTTAAAACTTAAACAAAAGGAATAATTTTATTAGCAGTAGGAAATTGTGTCTTAAGTATAAATTTATTGATACAACAATAAAAGACAGATAAAATGGCCCTGGCTGGTGTGGCTCAGTGGATTAAGTGCTGGCCTGTATATGAAAGGGTCGTCAGTTCTATTCCCAGTCAGGGCACATGCCTGGGTTGCAGGCCAGGTCCCCAATACAGGGCGCATGAGAAGCACCCACACATTGATGCTTCTCTCCCTCTCTTTCTCCCTCCCTTCCCCTCTCTCTAAAAATAAATGAATAAAGTATTTAAAAAAAAAAGACAGATGAAATGAAAACTAGTATTGGTATTGTTGGCAGGTGGAGTCTGCAGAAAGCAAACCACATCTGCAGAAAAACTTGACAACAACGGAAAGAGAATGATAGTGATCTCGTGAGCCCACAGGGAGGTAGTATAGCACAGTGGTTCCAGAGCAGTGATTTTCAACTGCGGTGGTTCTCAGTGCCCCGTGGGAGACATTTGGCAATGTCTGGAAATATTTTGTTGTCACACCATGTAGGAGGTTGATCCTACTGGCATCTAGTGGGTAGAGTCCAGGAATGCTGTTAAACATCTTACAACATATAGGATTACGCCCCTCACAATAACTTCTCCAATCCTATAATGTCAATAATGCCAAATCAAAACGGACCCGATCTAGTAGCAAAACATGACTTATTTCCCCCTGGCAAAATGTGTGTGTGAGATGGGGTTTCAATGGACATACCTTACTTTATAAATTATTTCTTGGTACACAGAGAGCCTCAGGTTTAGTTGCTTAGTATATATGATAAATAGACAAACCAGTCTAAAAAACTTCCTCTGTGCCTTTACGGTACAAATCCTAGTAGGAGCTGACTTGTTGGCCGACTCCTACAAGACTCATTCTTGACTGTTCTTTCTTTCGGGTCCCACCCATCAGCAAATCATTGGCTCGATTTTCAGTCAGACCATTTCTCCCCTACTGGTTGCTATTAACCCTGCGCCAAGCTGTGTCATCTGGCCTGGATTACTGCGCCAGCCTCCTAATTAATCTGCCTGCTTGTGCCCGAGCTCACTCTCAATTTATTGCCCATACTGCAGCTATAGGGGTCCTTTTATTATGTCACCTTGCTTAAACTCTTCTAGAGATTTACAATTTACTGAAAGAAAAAAACAAAAGTCCTTACAGTAGCCAACAAACCCTTCATAATCTGGACCTCTCCTACCTTACCTCCTAGCTCTACTCCAGCCACATTCTGCCTCAGGGCCTTTGAACTCGCTCGTTCCTCCGTTCGCAAGGCTAGCTCCTTCCCGGGAGGCCATTGAGCAAATATCACGTGATCAGAGAGGCCTTCCCAATGTAACACAATGTCACCAGCACACCCTACACCCCCACAGGCACACATACACTCTATCCCTTGACTCTTTTTTTTTTTCTTTTTGTTAGCAACCCCGACAGAAACATCTGCCTATCTCCGCCACTAGAGTCAACTCCCCGCGTGCAGTAACTCGCTTGATCACGGCTATGTCCCAGTTACTGGTACAGAGCTTGGCCCTTCGGGCATTCAACGTTTGTCCAATGAATAGGATCGCTTGTGTCGATGTAAGAAACGTCCAAACCTGTGAGAATTTTTATGAGTTTATTTGAGCCAGACTGACAACAATTGCTGGGAAGCAAAACCGCAGCGTATTGAGAAAATGTTCCAGGAAATGGCAGTTTTGCGCCTTACTTTGTACAGTACAATCAAAAGAGGGGGCATAAGGGGTTACGAGAAATCTATTGGTGATAGATTAGGGAGGCGGGAGAAAGCAAACGGGAGAAGCCTCTAGGATTGGATAGACACAGAATTCTTTTAAACAGGTGGGTACCTAGGATAGTGAACAGGCAACAATTAGCACCATAATAATAACAATGAGATTTGTAGTCTCTGCTCCAGCGAGGGTGTTGTGCTCTGCCAGGAGGGGTCCGGAAAAGGGGAGGTGCATGTTATTTCAGATGCAAAGAGACAAGCTCAATTAAGGTAAAGACTGACTTGTCATGAAGAATCTAACCTAGGACAATGCCTTTCCACCATGACCTGCTTTTAGTCAGAAAGTTTTTATTTCCAAATCATCCTATGTGGTTACTTTAGGTCCCTGATTTAGTCAGGCTGCCAGGCAGGCCTCCCCTGGGTTCAGTTGGTGGCCCCTTTTCTTTCACACTCACCTGCGTCTATGGCCCAAGAGACATGAGAATAGCTTGTCAGGAAGCTCCTTTCCTTTATGCTATTCTTTTACTAATTTTAGACACACTGAGAACAGAGCAGGAGACACCCGTCAGCCCTCATAATAAGGGATCTTAAGTCTCCCCACTTACACCCAACTACAGAAATAAGAGATGTTGGATGAGCTGTTATCCTAAGGTCCTAACAGCTGGGCAATTCTGTGATTCTATCGGGCCAGGTTTGAGGCTGTAAACTGCCATTTGAGGGAGAAGGAAGAAGGCAGCGGAAGGGAAGCTCGAGAACGAAGAAGGAATTGAGAACGCGGCCTCGGCTGGCTAAAAACATGACTTAATACCTTCACCTTTTTTGTGTTTGAAGGCCGCCTTTTCAGGCTTTCCTCTTGGGAAAGCGCTCAGGGCTGCCTAGAGCAGCGCCGAGTAACAGCTTAATGGCAGCCGAGGGGCCCTCCCGAGGCAATGCTACTCAGAGGCGGTTAAGGGATCCTGGCGGCTACCCTAACAGGGGCTCCACCCACATTTTGGTTCTTTGTAGTGAGCTGTGCTCAGCCGGGGGCAGTGTAAATATTCTGTTGACTACAAGCACCTGAGTGCGAACCAAACGCGGCACAGAGTGCTTTAACCCAGGTGGGACGTTGCTGCCAGACCACTCCGGAAAAAACGGCCTAGGCGCACGCATCATGGCTGCCGGCGACAGCACAGCGAAAGGCAGTCGAAAGGAAATGGCGCCGGGGCGCGCGGCCAGTCTCGGCAGGCCTAGGGCTGCGGGGCCAGCGAGCCGGCAGGGCCATGTAGGAGTGCCAGCCAGGGACTCTAAAATCCTTCCTGGGCTTTTGGCACCTGGACGCCCGAACCTTGAAGACTGCAATATGGAGGGCTCTCATTGTCTCTGCAAAGCAACTTATACCGGCAGGCCCGGATTCCGTCCCGCAGCCGAACCCGGCAAAATCCTCTATTCTTCAAACAGAATGCCTTACGCACACTGCGCATCTTCGCAACAGTGGGCCGGCTAACGACGCAAAGAATGTTACGTCGCACCAGAGACTATTCCCCCACCCCCACCTCACATTCTAGTTTAGGTAGCGCGAGATCTCTACGCCCGCTCCGTACTTCGTTTCCCTTATACCGACCGCAAAATGCGTCCACCTTCGCAACTGTCGTAAAATGCTTCCAAGAATAGCCGTAGTACTCCGCGAAGCCTTGGGGCTATTTCGACACGCTGTTTACGTATAGCCTCCGACGTACGTAGCGTTAAGTTGGAGCAGTCTCAGCGCCGGCCGCCATTTTGTGGAGTCGCCGGGAAGGAAGGAGACGCCTAAACCGCGGCACTGCCGGGTTTGAGCGTAGCCAAACCTACCCACTGATTTTATAACCCCGATTCTCTGTGTTTTGCTCCCGTCTCCGACGAGAGAGGCGGCGACGGTGGCGTCTGCGACGGGAGACAGCGCGTCGGAGCGAGAGAGCGCCGCGCCTGCCGCCGCCCCAACAGCGGAGGCGCCGCCGCCATCGGTCGTCACCAGACCGGAGCCGCAGGCCCTCCCGAGCCCGGCCATCCGTGCCCCGCTCCCAGATCTCTATCCATTTGGGACCATGCGCGGAGGCGGCTTTGGGGACCGGGACCGGGATCGTGACCGTGGAGGGTAAGGGTGGGAGGATGAGAGGAAAGGCCTTGGATGTGCGTGGGGGGAGGGGAGCTTTCCTGAGGAGACGGCCGCTTGTGGTCTAGCGGGAGACTTGGAGCGGACGGGAGGCCTGTGAGCAACGCTCCCGACTCCGGGAAGCGAGGCGACCCGGGACGTAATGGCGATTTAGGGCATGGACCTCCGAGTGGGCCTGGGCCCTGGGGTCACTGGTGACCTGGCGAGGGGGTGGTGGCTTGGCGGCGCCCCAACTCCTTGCGGACGGCGGTCGTGGCGAGGCCCGGGCCTCGCCTCGCTTCCCGGCGTTCGAGCCCGGCCGATTTGGGCAAGTCATTTGATCGCTCCGGGCCTCAGCGTTCATCTGTGAAACACGGATGTTCTTGTTGAGAACAGAATGAGATCTCGAAGTTCAGCCTAGGAAAATCTTAACGCGAAATGGCTTCCGTTGTGTTATGTGTCGCCAGAGATCATTTAACGGAACTGGAACCCTCGTTTGAAACTGGAAGCTAAAAGGCTGGCTTCTAGTTTTGAAATCACCACTAGTCATATTTAAATAATTGGAAGGATGCACATTGGAATATAAAGCAATGGGATTGCCATCTAAGTGGTGGCCGTGTTTGGGAAGAGGGGGGGTTTTTGTTTGGTCATTGTAGTTCTCCCTCCCCCCTCCCCCCATGTTTCGGTCTGTCTTTCTATAATTGGACTGGAGCATTAACTTGGCCTGGCTAGAAAGTTTTTGAGTTGTAACGCTACTGTTACAGGGTTGGAAGTTAACAGGATTAAAGCTAAAAAGTCCTCCCAGATACTGAAATTCAGATCTTAATGTCGACTGAACAAAAAAGTTGAGTAAAGGTCCATTCTCATTCTGATTTATGCTGTTTCTTTTTTGTAATAAAAGTTGTCTTTACTTTGCATTGTTCTTGGGAATTGAGATACTTCATGTAATTGTCTCTTTGTAGTCGGTGTTGTGTTAATGTTTTCTCCAAAGTTGCCTTTGTGGTTCAGCTACACAATCAGATCTACTAGTCACAAGCACCTCATTTATCACTTGATTTACAAAATAAAAAAGGGTTATTCTGATTAATACCTTGTTAGAAAGGGAAATACTTTGTCTTAGTGTTAAGCTTGGAGGACTAGGAGTGGATTGTTTGCTTAGTGTTTTACAGTATAGCTAAATTTAGAAGTGAATTTCAGTACAACTGCTTAGGAAAAAGAACTTAACAGTACCTACTAAAGTTAAAAATGGTCCAGTAATTTCTCTCAAGTTATACACCCTAAACTCTTACGACCTAGAGAAATCCTTGTACACGTGCTTCAGTGTTCATCACAAAGATATTTATACCAGCATTATTCAGGATTATTGGAAACAGCTCAGATGGCTGGATAAGTTGTGGGTATTCATACAATAGAATATAACAGTAAAAAAGCAAGTTGTGGTAGGGTAATGCATGTAAAATATTTAATGAGCAACATAGTCTTCCAGGGTACTGAGGATACATGCATCTTTAAAAGATGGGATGGTATGAATGTGCTAAAAAAGCTGCAAGAGTAAAAAGCTCTTGAATATTTAAATCAGTATCAATTTTAAAGGTGGAAGACATGTTTATAAAGAACCATGTGTTCCAGATTACATCATTAGTGTAGGGTGATGTGTCTTGAATAATTAGTCAAGGCATTAGGGAGAAAGGAAAAACCTTTTCTTCGAAAAAGAAAGTAACAGCTACTTTTCATAAGCTTTAAAAGAAGACTGACTTTGAGGCCCTGGCTTCATAGCTCCGTTGGTTAAGAGCGTCCTCCCAGTCGCCAGTGTTGCTTGGTTCACTCCCTGTTAGAACACATACAAGAATCAACCGACGAGTGCGTCAGTAGAAAAACAAATCAGTGTTTCTTCCCCCATTACTCCACCCCCCTAAAATCAGTAAATAATTTTTAAAAAGGGTAGCACTGGAATGCAGCAGCAGCATTGAAATGACACCTAGGAGCCACATAAATTTATATAAACTAGACGGACAATCTTTAAAACTTGGCCTTTGGTCATTTTTACTTTCTTTGCAAGGCTGCCTAGAGATTGGGCTTTCTATTATCTAAAATCCTGTTTTGGTTCCTAATTTCTTTGACTAGTTCAGCAGTGTTACAAATGAAATTGACTCAGTTCTGCCTATGGAAAGTAGGTGCTCAGTGGTCCCAAGAAAATTTCCTGCTATCAGTCTTTGTATTTAGAGAAATGTTTAGCTGAGTCTTTAATCCAGAATTTTAAGAATGGTTTGAAATTCAGGAAATGGAGGCCCTTTAAAATAGTACAACTACTGCCTGTCAGTTATAAAGTGGAACCATCTGCAAGATGATGTTATGAGTGGGTTGGAATGGAAAAGGGAAATTAAATTCAGTATAGTGTTTTCAGAAGTAAGGAAGTGAGATGAAAACATGCTGTAGACCATCTTAGTGTTAGGATTCTGCTAGGAAAAGTAGAAAATCTCAAGTTCCACTAGTGACCATATTTCTATTCCAATGAACTTGTGAAAGTTCAAGCCAAAAAAAAAAAAAAAAAGGTTTTAAATAATCCAAAATTTTAAAACCTTAAATAACTGGGGGAGGGTAAATTTATATTTAAATTAATAGTACCGCTTGCTTGGTAACAGAGAAAAAAAAGGTGGAGATGGAGAGGAAGGAAAGGTCATAAGTCTTTGTTCTTGCTATTCATTAACATAAACTAAAAGTGAAGACCAGTTTACCTGTTTTGTTATGTTTTTTATGAGTCCTGGAGGGAGGGAGGGAGGAAGGGAAGGGATGTGTGTTTTGTGTTTTGTTTTAGATTAGCAGAGGGAGGGATTGCTCTTCACTGTAGAAAAGGATAAAGGGTCTAAAGAAGCTATGCCAGTTATGGGGCAACTTGTTACAAGTGTATTTTTCGACCTGTCACCATCTTACCCTTATTTAAGCTTAAACTAATGTCCTCCCTTACCTACATGTCTGAATGTTACATGAGAGTAGAGGCTTCTGTTTTATTCACTTCAGTTTTTTGATTAAAGATCTTACATAGTCAATACCCAGTAACTATTGTTTGAATGCTAACTGGTGCTGAGTGCTTACTATACCAGATACTGTTAAGCACTTTACACATGTTTATTTCATCTTTACAGCAACTTCTGAAACAGGTGGTAGTATTTTTTCCTACTTTGCATAAGAAACTAAGGGGCAGAGAGGTTAAATAATTTGCCCAAAATCATACCACCATTGGCAGAATTAAGATTTAAACTTTGAGATTCCAGAATCTGGTTGTAATCTTCGTAATATTTCTCTAAATATAAGAATTAAAATTTTTTCACCTACTGTAACCATACCTTTAACAATATTGTTGGATAGTAAAGGAAGGTGTGTGAACTCCGTACCTTCAAATAAGAGAAGTAAAATAGTCTCTTTGGAAAGGGTTGGCAGTATCCTAAGAGTCTCATCTTTTTATGGCACCTGAGGTATATTTCTTTAAAAATACTAATAGCTGAAATTTTGATATTTATAGATTCGGAGCAAGAGGTGGTGGTGGCCTTACCCCGAAGAAATTTGGTAATCCTGGGGAGCGTTTACGTAAAAAGAAGTGGGATTTGAGTGAGCTCCCCAAGTTTGAGAAAAACTTTTATGTGGAACATCCAGAAGTGGCACGGCTGACTCCAGTGAGTTTCGGGGAGGGGGATGGATTTGTCTTTTTTTATACAGAGTAATGAACCAAGTAGACATAGTAGCTAGAATCTATACATATGCTGCTATTGCTTACATATTTTATTCTAGTGCAGTGGAGCTTTCCTTAGATTCTTATTAAAACTGCTAGTACTCATAGGAGGAACCAGTTTATATATGTACTTAGTGATTGCTTGTTTCTATTTGTTGGTTATGCTTCCAACCAATTTGTCATATATGATTTTAACTGTATATGAGTCATATCTTTTCATCTATGAAGTTAATTAAATTTAAAATATTGGCATTATGTCCTCCTTAACCTCATGAGTTTTTTGGCCTGTATCCATTGTGATTACTTGTTCAGAAAAAAGCATAGTGGAAAGAGTACTTGGGTCCTAAATTCTGCAATTTTTCCCTCTTATTTCTGATCTGAGGCAGGTGACTTAACATTTCTGGGTACCTGTTATTTCATTTGGGAAATGGAACTCTTAATCACCTGCTTTATGGACTCACAAAATTGGGAGGCTCCTCACATGTTTTCCCTTTTAATTTTGAATTGGATAATTGTTCAACTGGATTGCTACATATGGTTTTGTATGTTTAAAATGACTGGTTTACTAATTTATTTTGCTTCATTTTCTTCCATAGTATGAGGTTGATGAACTGCGCCGGAAGAAGGAGATTACAGTGAGAGGGGGAGATGTTTGTCCTAAACCTGTGTTTGCCTTCCATCATGCTAACTTCCCGCGTAAGTGTTCTCACCAGGATCTTATTGTGAACTTGGGTTGAATAGTAAACATAAATAATAGGTTATTTAAAGGTTGTGAACCCTACTCTGGATTGATTTATTTTTTATTTTGGAAAACCCAAGTAGAATACCTTTCACTGAGGTAAGTTATGTTGTGTAAATTTTTTTATTTTTAGAAAAACCTACTCGAGGCTAGAAGTAAATAGTTGCATAAGATTTTTTAATGCTCATCTGTTCTCTTCTTTAGGTTTTTATTTTCTGGGGGGTTTGTTTTAGTTTAGTTTCATCTTCCCCTAGGGGTTTTGCTTGTACCCTTTAGAAAACAGCAGAATGGAATTGCATTCTAGCTGGATATAATTTGAATTTGTCAAGTGAGAAGTGACCACCATGTGCCAGTGCCCTGTGAGATACCTGAGGCCGTGGTTTTCAGGTATTTGATGGGAAGGGTCGCTGTGACAGCAGCCCCTTGAGAGGTAGTGGCCAGCAGGTCAGAGATTGAGTAAAAAAACTGCACTTCTCATGGAGCAAAGTGATGCTGGGTAACTCTTTCCAGAAACGTAACCGTTTTTTAAATAATTCTTTTGGCTATGTTCTTAGTTTTACTTTTAAAAGCAGTAACATTACCCTTTTGCAGAATACGTAATGGATGTGTTAATGGATCAGCACTTCACAGAACCAACTCCGATCCAGTGCCAGGGATTTCCGTTGGCTCTTAGTGGCCGGGATATGGTGGGCATTGCTCAGACTGGCTCTGGGAAGACATTAGCGGTATGTGCCAGCATGGGAAGGTTTTTAATGTGGTGGTGACTTACTTGCTCTTTTAACTATTTCATATATCAGTTATTTCTCAATTCTTTATAAATTTATAGGTCATGGAATGTAGGTAATATTTTAGTTTTTTTAGCTCTATGAATAGGTGGAAGCATTTCAGGTTTAAATTTACAAGTGTATGTGCTTGTCACAGTTGTGAGTGCTGTTTTCACTTTTCCAGTTAGGCATTATCAGTTACTGTGAAAATTTAGAACAGTTAAGGTAATGACTTAATTTTCTTGTAAGACTGTCATTCTTTTTCCTCCCCCAGTATTTGCTGCCTGCAATTGTTCATATTAACCACCAGCCATACTTGGAAAGGGGAGACGGTCCAATCGTAAGTGTGTTTCAGTTTGCTTATAATTCTAAGAATAACTGAAATTTAATGTTTATTGTGTTTTATACACTGTTTCAAATTTCATTCTCAAGCCTATCTTCCATAATTTGGAAGTGCTAGTATCCCATCTTACTCTGGTAAGTTTTAGACAATGCAATTAAAAAACTTGCCCAAGGTCATCATACAGCTGTTAAATAACTGAGCTTGAATTTGAATCAATATTACTCTTAACCACTTTGCATTAATTCAGGTGCAGTTCTTAATTTTCAGTGATTCTGTGAGGGATACAAAAGAGGTATGAAGTGAGGTCCCTGCTCTGGATTTAAGTCAGGGTTTGGGATGTGTATTCTCTGTGGTTAAGTAATAATTTCATAAGTGTTTATAGGGCAGCATGATTTTCTGTTGATTATTTTCATTGCTTCCTGTAAGATACAAGAAATGGTCTTTAAACATTTTGAATGGACATTTGTATCTTTTTTTAATTCAGCTGATACTTGCTATATTAATAAATACGTACATCCTTACAATATGTCTCAGTATTCACAAAAAGAAATAAAAGTATTGCTTTGCATTATGTAATCTGTAATATATTTCCATATGGCAGAGTTAGCTTTATTATCATTAGCTAGTATCTGATAGTACAGAGAGCAAGATTCATTGGTAACAGTGTATTATATCATACTTTATTAGTGTCCTAATTTTGTATTGTTTTGGCCAGCTAGTCAGATTGCGTATAAATCCTTGTTTTTTCCTAATGAGCCTGCCTGAGAACTAAACTAGAAGTCAGGAAAGGGTCTGCTTTTCTGTTTTCTAATTCACCTATTTCTTACTAATACTTAGTCCAGGTTTTGTTGCAGGAAGTTTTAGAGGGAAAGGGAGGGAGAAAAAGGAAACATCAATGTGTGGTTGCCTCTCGTACGCCCCCAACTGGGGACCTGGCCTGCAGCCCAGGCCTGTACCCTGACTGGGAATTGAACTGGTGATCCTTTGGTTTGCGGACTGGCACTCAGTCCATTGAGCCACACCAGCCAGGGCTGTTAGAGGAATATTTTAAAGCCACTTGTTTATTTTGTGAAAGTTCTTTAGTTAAAACTAGGTAATAAAATTTGTAAATCCACTTGAATAGCATACATAAGCAGTAATGAATCGTGTGGGGTAAGCCATCATTTCAAGTGCTAAATATTCTCATAATTTTTTACTACACTCCAGTGCACTGTGTCTTATGTCTCTGCCTTCCCATCCTCCCAAACCATTACATAATTTTGAAAGTACCAAATTAGGCAGTAGAAAAGAATTAGATGGCCTTTTGTACTTCTTCTTCTTTTTTTTTTTTTTTAACTTGGGATATGTCTTAAGTGTTTGTATGTTTGTTTCAGTGTCTAGTTCTAGCTCCTACCAGAGAACTTGCCCAGCAAGTACAGCAGGTGGCTGATGACTATGGCAAATGTTCAAGATTGAAGAGTACTTGCATTTATGGGGGTGCTCCTAAAGGTCCCCAGATCCGAGACTTGGAGCGAGGTAATTTTTTAAAAATTAGCATATAAGAATTATGAATTTATCTCATTTTGCCGATTTCTATGAGTGAAATTGAAGAGGAAGATAGTAAGTTCTTGGGGGGCGGAATTCAGTATTTCAGCAGCTTAAACATTTCTCAGGTATGGTTAAAATACTACTTTGGGAAAATTCAATATGGCTAGAGACTTATACTCTGTGAAGATTGGATGATTATGAATAAAGTCTCCTTAGAGCATGCTTTTCCAAGTACTGTTAGAATGTGGCTAGTTCTCTGCAGCATTGAGTGACAGCCACCAGAGCTGATGCTTAGTCTGCTGAGGCTTGGGCAGTGGATAAAGATTCTCAGTTGCTAGATCTTTGGTTTTGTTTTACAGGTGTTGAGATCTGTATAGCTACTCCTGGACGCCTGATAGATTTCCTGGAGTCAGGAAAGACAAATCTTCGCCGATGTACTTACCTTGTATTGGATGAGGCTGACAGAATGCTTGATATGGGTTTTGAACCCCAGATCCGTAAAATTGTTGACCAAATCAGGGTGTGTAAAGCTGGTAATATGCTCTATTTATGCCCTTTGCCTGTCATAGTTCTTTAGCCTAAAAGAAAGCCTCTCCTTTTTTTATAGCCTGATAGGCAGACATTGATGTGGAGTGCAACCTGGCCAAAAGAAGTGAGACAGCTCGCAGAGGACTTCCTTCATGATTACACCCAGATCAATGTAGGCAATCTGGAGTTGAGTGCCAACCACAACATCCTCCAGATTGTGGATGTCTGCATGGAAAGTGAAAAAGACCACAAGTATGAGTGATTTCACTGTTTGATAATGCCGATAAACCTTTCCTTAATAATCCTCCAAAATTAAAGCATTGGAGAAACTAATTTTTTTAAGGTCTGAACACAGTAGAAGCATTGCTAGCTTTCCAACAATTCATTTTTTTATATCATTTATTGGAGAATTGTCATTAAAGACAAAGGATTCTGGATCCTTGGGTTTGACTCCCAGCTCTGATAATCATCAACTATGTAGAAAGTAATGTGAAAAGAAAGTGCTGTGGCTTTGGGGGCTAATAGGGCAGACATAACTTCTACATAACGTATGGGGAAGTCTCCTCTGAGTGGCTGCATTGTTGTTGGTCTTGTCTTTAGGTTGATTCAACTCATGGAGGAAATAATGGCTGAAAAGGAAAATAAGACAATAATATTTGTAGAGACAAAGAGACGCTGTGATGACCTCACTCGAAGGATGCGCAGGGATGGGTGAGTGCAGCACCGAGGTAATTGATTAGCATCAGGTTTTATAGGTTAGTTTCAGTAGAGATTTCTAAATTGGTGTTGTGAATATTGTATAATATTTTAATAATGCATTTGCTCTTTAAATGGACTCACTCATCTACTTGTGTAGTCTATAGCAAACCTTCACAGTTCCATAAGGTTACACTTCTTTTTAAAGGTTAGTTTTCCCTTTTTTTTTAAAAGATTTATAAGATACTGGTCACTTTCCTTCTGACAGTTGGCCAGCTATGTGTATCCATGGAGACAAGAGTCAACCAGAAAGAGATTGGGTGCTTAATGGTGAGTCCAAAACTAAGCATTGTTCATACTCTGTTTCAAAGTATTGACAGAAGAAAGTATTGACAAACTTTCTATAAGTGGGACCAGGTACTTTAGGCTTTGCAGACTACATGGTGGTTTGCATCACAGCTGTTTAATCCTGCTGTTGTAGCACAAAAATGGTCATGGACAATATGTTAAGAAATGGCTTGGGCCCTGGCTGGTATGGCTTAGTGGATTGAGTGTCTGCCTGCAAACCAAAGGGTCACTGGTTTGACTCCCAGTCAGGGCACATTCCTGGGTTGTGGGTCAGGTCCCTGGTTGGGGGCGTGTGAGAGGCATACTGGTAGATAGATCTCTCACGCGTCGTTGTTTCTCTCCCTCTTTCTTCCTCCCTTCCCATCTCTAAAAATAAATAAAAAATCTTTAAGAAAAAAAAAGAAATGGCTTGGCTGTGTTCCAACAAGACTTGATTTGCAAAAATAGGCATTGTGCCAGATTTGAATTGTAGGCTAGAGTTTGCCCAGCTGGGGGCATTTTGGGTGTGTCTTCTCTGTCCTTTAAGGTCAGTAACGCTGGCTCCTCACACTTTTTCACAACTTATGTCACCCTTTCAGCAATTTTCAGCTGGGTGTGCCACAAGAATTTTTAAAATGTGATACCTGACTATTTAGTAAGGGGCAGTGATGGCCTCTTTTCCCTTAGATTGTCCAAAAAGAAATGACAACCAGCACAATCGCTCCCTGTTGTGAATAAATCAAAATTATACTTTTTTTTGTTAGGTAGGCAAAATATATATTTTTTGGTGTTTAGTTCTTGTGTGCCCTGAAATGGACAGGGTTAAAAATCACTGCTTCCTTTACGAAATACTGTCTTTATAGACATGCTCACCAGCCTAGAAGCTTCCTAAACCTTGCACTTTCGGGCTTTTTATGGAGGCTTTGTTATGTAGGCATGATGAGTCTCCAGTCCCTGTTCCCTTCTCTGAGGGTGAGGGGTGAGGCTGAAAGTTCCAAGCTTCTAATCATGGCTTGATTTTGATTGTCGCTGTTGTTCCATCCTCCCTGCCGGCCCACAAAGTTTTGCCTCATCAGAGCGAAATACACTTTTATCAACTTTTATTAACCAGGAAATCTGAGGGGAACCCTGTGAGGAACCTGGGTCAAAGACTAAGTATCAGCATAAAAGCTTCTCCTAGCATCCCTATTTACAAGAGTTTTAGAAGTTCTGTTTCAGGAACTGGGAGCAGAGACCAATGTATTTTTTATTATTATTATTATTATTATTATTATTATTATTATTATTATTCATGGGAAACTATGGTTCCTCCTTTGTTCCACATCTTTTAAACTTATTCCTCCCGCCACCCCAACTTGATTTTGTTTCATTTGGTAGGTTACTTTGGTTTCATAATTTGGAGGCGGGGGGGGGGGGGGTTCTAGCTTAAGTAATTTTGTTAGCAGTTGTGCCAATTTAATGATGTTTCATTATTAGAGGTAACTGTCTAATAATGCTCCACTGCTAAAAGAGAATGTAATAAAAATTTTCATGTAAATTTCCCTTAAATTTAAAAGATCATTGCATGTTCCGCTGCCTTTACTTGAAATTATACCGTAGTACAGTAAAGCTTTATATGTAGTTAGAATGTTTATTTGGTCATGTTTTTAAGGCAGATCACTTAGCCTTGAGTGCATGGCTGGGTTTTCATAGTATCGTTCTTGTATTGCAGAGTTTCGTTCTGGAAAGGCTCCCATCCTCATTGCCACAGATGTAGCCTCCCGTGGGCTAGGTTTGTATAGATAGGTGTCTCTGTCAATGGTACATGTATCTCTTGGTTTAAAGATTTGTTTGCCATTTCAAATTAGAGTTGTATATACATGTGTTTAGATAAATATTTAACAGAGAAGAATACAAAGGATTTTTTCCCCTTTTTTTTACCCCCAATTTTTTTTGTTTTTTTCTTTCATTTTCAAAGTCTCTTTCTGCTCCTAACAAACAGGCTTTGGTCTGCAGCAAGGCCTAGGTATGACTATTCTAACAGTCAGAGGGAGAGGAAACGCTCAGCTGAGCAGCTCAGCTTCCTCCTGGTTTTATTCTGTTTGGCTGGAGAGAATGAGCCTGGTTGAACCCAGCTGTTAGAAGCTGGGGTTCTGGGGGTTTTTTGGGTTGTTTTTTTTTTTTTTCTTTTTTTCCCCTGATTCTTTTTCTCCTTATACCACTCTGTGCTAGGTTCTATGAATGCTAATATAATCTTGGGATGTAATAAGTCTGTAAACATGCTCTTCATTTGGCAACTGAATCTGCGTTGCCCAACTTTATTTACTGAAGTAAAATCATCACGGGTGCTCAGTCATCCCCTCCTCCCCATAGTCATCGGTAAAATGCTCTCTTCCAATTTAAGAGCTTAATTTGAGGCTAGTGTTTTTCTGGAATTTTTGACTCTTTTGATTTAAGATATTCAAAGATATTTTGTGGTACTTTAGCCTATTCTGAGCTTAAACGGGTAACACAAAATTTTCATGTTAAAAAAAAGATGAGATTATTTCTGTCACAAGAATATCTTTAAATTATTGACAGGTATATTTAATTTCTTGCCCAGTAAGGTGAGAAGTACCATATTTCCTTATAATGTTTAACATAAAGAGAACAGTTAATTCAAACTGGAGTACAAAAGTCATGAAGACTGGATACATTGCACTCATCATTCCCTCCTTCAGAGGTGGTGACCTGTAGCCATGACTGAAACTTGGCTCTGCCCTCTGAGGTCATGTCTGGGTCTGTGCGGTTAGAACTTGGGCCTGTTGGGAGAAGAGGCTGAGGCCTGAAAGCAGTTTACATAAAAGCTTTCAGTGATGGTGGTTTTTAAACAGGCTTGCTATGTGCTGGTAGCTTCTTTGTGCATCTTGCCTAGACAATTAAAAATACTTGTTCCATGTCCCCCTGCATTTCTAAACCAAATCAATTGGCTACCATGAGAATAACTTAAGACTCTTCATCCCATCCCCACTCATCCACGTGAGGGGAGAGGGAAGACCCGAGTCTGTTTCTTGTTACTCAACATCAGTGCTTGTTTTGGGCCCCTTTGTTTGCTGCCTTGTAAAAATCAAAAGGAGGGGGAAAACCCACCAAAATGGCAGAATGCTGACCAAGGTCCTACAAGATCCTGGAAAGTGAAGGCTTCTACCTCATAGACAGGGGTGCGATTTTCAGCTGAGTCACCAGGCCTTTTTTCACTTCCTGTCGAGCGATGGCCTCTTAAATGTTCCCTTCAGGTAAGTTCTTTGATTCCCATAATGTTATAATAGTCATCCTCAGGAAACCATTATTAATTATTCCCTTTCCACTGGGATATTTTTGATTTTTCCTTTTTTTTTTCTTTTTGTTTACACACTGTTAAGCTAAAAGTATTGAATTGATTTTGTTTTGTTTTTTAACAGAAGCTTTGATATCAGCTGCAGATCACTCAATACATGGCTGAGGCAAATCTACATTGGCCCGAAGCAGCTCTAGATGAGCCCATTGGCTAGTCTGTCCTTCCCAATTAGTGATTGGAGATTTCAGGCCATGTTATATAGGGCTTGTCAGACAAAAAGTTGTTCCCCTAGGCAGCTGGCCAAAACATTAACTTTTCAATTTCTCACCCCGCTACAGAATCTTCTCTAAAGGCAGCAAGATAATATTGTGGTCGTGCACAAATAACATCAGGGCAGGCTTGACTGGAGAAAATCAAATTCTGCGCTTGCTCTTATGTGTCCTCAGCCAGCTCTGTGTGCACACACAGGACACCTTTCTAGTATGAAGAACTTGCACCATGTCTGCCCCCTACTGAACCCCTCCAGAAATACTGCCAAGTATTAGTCTGTGAACTGTTGACGTCAGTCCCCAGTGTTTTCTGCTTGGAAAGCACGTCTGGGCATTCAGTACAGTAAATTCAGCTTGTTCTCCTGCCCGTGGTCATCCACAGTGGGATTGACTAAGGAGGATTATCCTGTCTCTGAAGATGTGGTCATGGAGCAAAATTTCCCATGCCGCCACCTCACATCCATCCTGGCCCCGTAAATTTTTGTTTTCCTTTATTGCGTCAGCGACCCTAGCCGGAGACTCACGCTGCCCCCTGTGATGACTGCCTTCTCGTCTTTCTGGTGTGATTTCAGGACTTTAGGGGTCAGTAAAGACTGAGGAGCCTTTATTGTAATAAGAAACAGACGTAATGCCCCCTTTCTTCACAGGCCCTTTAACAATAGCCGATATTTTTTATTTTTATTTTTTTATTTTTACTTTTTTTTTTTTGATCATCACCCCTTTCCCCTGAAATTAATCCAGTCTGGGCAATAGATGCAGTCTGACCCTTTGGATGTAACTTACATTTTTTTTATTAATTATTTTTTTCTACAATCACCCCAATTATCCTTGGGGGAGGCGTTGGAGGACCTGAAATTTTTACCCGAACCCAGGTTCTCCGGCGCTTGGCAACCAAATGGGGCTACAGAGAAGCATCTAAGCCAGTTCACAGAGCGAGCGTGTGTGGGGACTTCTCACTGCCACGGACCCTTGATGCATGCTCCCCGCGCTCCAGTGGTCCCGTGTCAGAAGGCGGAGTTTTCGAAAGGAGGCCGCCAAAAATAAAAGGCAAAGAGACGGGATCGGCTGCAGCGGTTTCCCAAAGGAGGAGGGAGTGTGCATCGGTCTGGTAACAAACAGAGAATGTTTTTTAATTCTTTATATCAACAAAAATCTGTGTTTTATCTAGGATATTTTCTGAATATTCTTTGTAAAATGCAGATTTTTTCCACAAAACATTAGGATTCTGTTATATTCTTAAATTTGTTTGTTTAAGTAGGTTAAAAAAGATACATTTAGCTGAAAGCATTACACTAACATTTACATACTTTAAGCATTAGGAGGTTATTCAGCCCAATTCCCAGCAGTGGACAGAACATTAAACTGTGTCTCAAGGTTTCATGGTTTTTCCCACACTCTTTGGCTATTTAATTTCCCAGGTTACATAGACAATCTTCGATAATTGAAGCAAGTAATTGAGTTAAAATAACCTTGAGTTGAGCAAAAAATCTTCATTTGGCAGAGCTGGGCTTGGTAGTACAGTGAAATTTTAGTGTAATGTGCTCTTGTCATAACTGAAGAGGAAAGATAATTTGGATGTTTCTGCGAAGGAAACTAGATGTGTACTTGGGCTCTGGTCGGTTTTTTTAAATAAAAGAGCAAAAAAATTAAATCTTTCTATTCAGTCTCCTTGAAATGTAGTAATAAAGTATATGAAGTTTCTTTTTTTCATTTTGCTCTGTGACTGGTTTAAAGGTAAGTTTGTTATATTTCTGGTAGACTTTGCCAGGCTTCTCCCAACAGAGTAGAAGTGATTTGCCTTATAACTTAATGGCGGTACCACTTTCTCCTCCATTCCAGTTTTGGCAAGGGTAGAGCTGGAATTCGGTGTAACTCCTGTCAGTGTATTGGTTTAAAATATAGAAGAGGCAGGAGTTTGGATGGTTGAGTGGGATCCCCTTAGGATTTTACAGCTGATAAAGTTGCCAGTTCCTATGCATGTCCCAGGAATCATTAATCCTCTTTTACTCTGTTGGGATGAGTCTTTTTTTTGTTCCTGTTCAGAATGGTTACTAACTTAATCTTCTCTCCTCTTGCTGTCATCTGCATTCGTGCTTTCCACCTGTTGTTGGCATGTCCTTTACCTTCTCTTTCCCTGCCGCATCAATCTACACACTGACTCATCGTTGGCTTTGAAGATGTGGAAGATGTCAAGTTTGTGATCAACTATGACTATCCAAACAGCTCAGAGGATTATGTGCACCGCATTGGCCGAACAGCCCGTAGCACCAACAAGGGCACTGCCTACACCTTCTTCACCCCAGGAAACCTCAAGCAGGCCCGAGAGTTGATCAGAGTGCTGGAAGAAGCTAATCAGGCTATCAATCCAAAACTGATGCAGCTGGTGGACCACAGAGGAGGCGGCGGAGGAGGGGGTAAGGGTAAGTCCTGGAGTTTTCCAGGTACTGCCAAGGTATCTTTTTGTAATCGTGTTTTTTGTTTTTTTAATTCTGTGACGACTTTAAATATGTTACTTAATAACAAAGGACAGTGCTTAATAGTTTTCGTAATATCTTCTGAGTAACAGTGTGATTGACCTACTTTTGCAGTGTAATATTTCTGTAGATAAAATAAAACTGATCTTTGTATTTTGAAGTACATGGTGCCTGTTCAAAATTAAGCTGAATTATGATTACTCTAATACCTAATTTAACACCACTTTATGGTGGTAGAACAGATACTGCTACTGGCTCTAAAATTGGTTGCAAAATACACTGGAATCTAGGCCTCCTGACTTTGATTTTAGTATTAGTTCATTCCCCAACTTTTTGCATGTTTAAGCTCTACATCAGAATTACCTGAGAGGTTTTATAAATACAAGGGTTTGGGGGGTATTTTTTTGTTTGTTTGCCTGTTTTTTAAGTGGGTTTAGAATTTGAGCTAGGAACCTGAACTTTTTTCCTAAAGTTTGTGAGACGTTTCTGGTGCAGTTAGGACCACAGAACAACACTTGAGAACCACTGTGCACCAGTCGAGGATCCCTTCCTGAAAGTGGGGGTATGAGCTTAGCTGCTTGTCTTTTTTTTCTTTTTAACCTATGGTAAGTCACATAACCTCTTTACCATTGTTCTACATTTTTTAAGATTTGTGTTTCTTGGTAATCCTCAAGGAAAGAAAGGTCCTAAATGGGTAGGAAGTTGAATATCCATAACATTTACCATTCTTTTGAATATGTTCTATTAAAGATTCAAATTATAAGTTTTTTGAAGTACTGATTTGGAGGCTGGACTATCTAAAGATTGAGAAGGAATGTTGAATACTTTTGTACCTAATAGAGTATTTATATGTGGTTATGTTTGGATCATAAGTCTGGCATTAAAAATCCATTGTATCCTTCATCAGGAGGTCGTTCTCGATACCGGACCACTTCTTCAGCCAACAATCCCAATCTGATGTATCAGGATGAGTGTGACCGGAGGCTTCGAGGAGTCAAGGATGGTGGCCGGAGAGACTCTACAAGCTATCGGGATCGTAGTGAAACCGATAGAGCTGGTTATGCTAACGGCAGTGGCTATGGAAGTCCAAATTCTGCCTTTGGAGCACAAGCAGGCCAATACACCTATGGTCAAGGCACCTATGGTGCAGCTGCTTATGGCACCAGTGGCTATACAGCCCAGGAATATGGCGCTGGCACTTACGGGGCTAGTAGCACCACCTCAACTGGGAGAAGTTCACAGAGCTCTAGCCAGCAGTTTAGTGGGATAGGCCGGTCTGGGCAGCAGCCACAGCCACTGATGTCACAACAGTTTGCACAGCCTCCAGGAGCTACCAATATGATAGGTTACATGGGGCAGACTGCCTACCAGTACCCCCCTCCTCCTCCTCCCCCTCCTCCTTCACGTAAATGAAACCACTCAAGTGGTAGTGACTTGTGCAGACTTGCTACATTTAAAGGAACGCTGTCTTTTCTTTCTTTTCTGTTTCCCCTCTCTTTCTATTTTATTTTTCCCTCCAACCATTGTGATTTGTCTTTCATGCAGATTAGTTAGAATTCACTGCCAGGTTTCTTCTGCCCGCCAAATTGATCCAGTCTGTAATAATAGATTTTGTAAAAAAAAATATATATATAGCTGACTGGAAAAGATCCCCCCTCCCCCAACTTCTTGCATGTTGAGGATATTTGAGCTATTTTTCATCTTTAAAGAAAAAGCAAGCTATTAGGCCCTTTTGTTGGGAGCCCTTTTTTGTTGTCCTGAGTTGGGGCTGGGTGGGGAGGGTAAAGGGTTGAATTGTGCAGAAGAAGATGGCATCTGTGCTTTAAATTGCTCTCATTGCTGAGTTAGAAACCAAGAGGGAGTTCCCTGCACATTTTCCATAATGCTTTTTAATGTTTCCCAAGCTGGAACAGGGTTCGTCAGGCCTGATGAGTTTTAAGACAGTGATTTGCCATTGTCATTTTGGCTGATTGCTTTTTAAGTGCATTCACAGCTTTAAAAAATTCTTAATTGGTTTTGTCTCCTTTACACTCTGCCCTCCCCCTTCCCAGTGACTGAAAAATAACCATTTTAGTGTCAGGTTAGAAATTGAATTGCCATGTCTGAGTATTTTAAGTGTAACTTTTAAAACCCCAAGTGTTCATTGCAATGGTTAAATGTAGCATCTCAGCACCTGGGTGGAAGCTGCCTGTTTTTCTTCCCCATATAAACAGGGACCATCATTGAAATTCATTTTTTAACCAGACAGCAGCTGTGAGCAGAATGAACATAAATGCTCACTGGAAATTTACTTTATTAACCAGTTAAGTATGCTTTCACCTGCAGTGTAAAAATCACCTTTAATTGTAAACAATATACTCAGTGGGCAGATTTTCTTTTTAAACTCTGTAGAGCTAGAATAAAAGCAACTCTTTGCTAGCAACCCAGCCCTTTTGGCCAGGTTACCTTGAATAAAGAATTTTGAGGGTTTGTTAAGAAAGAACTCTTATTCTCTTCATACTCTGTTCTCTGCAGTGCTTTGTAACAGCTTTTGGATGCAAATTTTCCTCGGCATCCTTTTGCACTCAGCTTTTTACAGGTAGGTAGTGCTTAAGAAAAGTTAGAGGACTAAAGCCTGTCCTTTTACTTTTCCTCCATCTGAAGGTAGGTGAGTCTGTCCCCTGCATAGTAATAATGTTGACTGTTTGGCTAAGACTTTCTATAACAGATCTGTGAAGAATTTTCTGCTCCTTGTGTTCACTACAACAGGGCAGGGAGATGAGACAGCCTCAGAAACCTCTTCCACTTCTAATGCAAGACAGTATTTAATGCTGTCGTTAGTATTGTTTATTCACAATGTAGTTAAAGGGGGAAGGCTCCTGCGTTGTTTGGCTAAGGCCTGAGAGTGCTTGCTGGTTTGTAAGATCAAATATCTAAATACTTGAGGTTTTTTGTTTTTGTTTTCCTTTTGAAATTCTTCAGGGAGAGAGAAGGGATTGTTTCTGAGGGGTTCTGAAAGTTTGGTTGAATGTGCAGCATACAGGTAGGTTGTCAGCATAAGTTGAAATATGTACATCTGAAAACTTTGACATCTCCCCTCCCCTCTTTCTTCTTCCTTAACTTCTCTTTTTTTCCCCTTTATAGAAGTTGAGGCTGAGGGAGGGAGGACAGTGGGCACAGGAAAACATGGCAAAACTGCTTTGTGCTTTCAAACCAAAGTGTCTTCCCCTCAAAAAAAATTTTTTAAGCACTGACCACCGGTTTGTTGTAGACATTTTTACATCCAGAATTCTGTTTTGTTTTGCTTTCTTTAAACAGGTGCCACCAGAGGGACTGTTATACTCTTTGCAGGTCTTAAAGGCATCCCTTTTTGGGAGAGGTCTCTGGGCAAGAAAGTGGTAGTTTGCTGCTTGCCTCTCTTCCACCAGGGATGTTAATACAGTCAAAAAAAAAAGCGTGTTCCAAATCTCAAAAACTATTGTAGCCTGAGTACAGCTGAAATCTAGCAGAGTTTTTCTTTCAGCTATAGAGTAACTCTGCCTCCCATGTCTGTTGCTCATGATTCAGGTTCTGCCTTTGCTTCAGAACATGAGCAGAAGAGATCTCATTTGATGCTGGGTTTTGTGGTCATGGTTAAAACTCATTTAGGGAAAGGATTTTGATACTAAGCTATGGGGCTGCTTCTCCCCAATCCCTCCCCAACAATTCATGTGTGGAGTTCTCTCATCTAAAAGGTTGGTGGCTTTTGCTTGGGATCAGTGCTCTCTATTCGTGTCCTTGCTGGTCTCTGAACACATTCCTGTTGCGTTAAGACTTGAAAGAAATGTAGATGTGTGATGTTCAGGCACAGGATGCTAAGAGCTATGTTGTTATTCTTAGTTTGTAAATTGTCCTTTTGATACCATCTTGTTTTCTTTTGTAGGTATAAATAAACACTGTTGACAATAAGGTGTGAGCTTTTTATTACTCAAAAATTCTGACTATAGCCAAATGGCAGTTGGTACTCGTAGAGTTATTATTTGCTTCAAGACAAGGGTTGGGAATGTTGGAAATTGCTTTAGCACCTAAAACTGTGAGAGAGAGGGGGGATTGATGGGTGCAAATGCAAAAATTTGAGTTACAAAGCAGTTAAACAGTACCTAATAGGGAAAGCCCTGGGTTTCTTGTTTCCTTTTCCGTAAAGCGGCCTTCACGCTGATGGTGCACAGTTAGGGTGGTTGGTGGGGTTAGATTGGGGGTGGGGCTGCCGCGAGCAACCAGCAAGACTCAAGTCGACTTTGGAGGCGAGACATGGAACTGTGTAAGTCTCGGCAAACCTTGTAAATTGGGTTTGCTTTGTACACAAAGGGACGGCTTTCCACAGTGGGATGGACTGTTTTAGCACAAACCTCAAGGATTCTTGATGTTCCTGTTGGCATCGTATGGCGCCATGTTAGTGTAATTGGCCCAGGCTTTTCATTGCTTCTAGAAGAGAAATGTTAATTGATGAGGTCGTCTAGATAAAATGATCAGTGCTTTGCAGAAATCCATCCGTGCTACGCATTTTTCTGCCTTTAATATTTGGTCTGAGTTGTGTATGAGTTGCTCAGTAGAACATCTCAAATAGTTGGCTTTGTGTCCTTGGTCTCTGAGGGCTCTCAAATTGGCATTGGAAGACTTAACTTCTTTCCTTTAAGGACTAGAAGAAAACAGATGCAATTAGAAGTTATACTGATGAGTGGACTCCTTTATAACTTTGTGCATGATCTTTAATGCCCAGTGCACAGCCATTCAGATGATAAAGCCAAGGGGGAAGCTGTTGCAAGTTAACCACAGGCTTACTGACTTCCATCTTGGTGATAATACTGGCATCGCCACCGTCGTCATCCCCCCCACCCTAGGCCGTAAGTTGAGCATCTGATTCCTTTAGTCCACATCTTACTCGTTCCATCAGCAGTCCCTCAATTGAACTGGAAGATCTGCCCACGTCTCTTTCCAAGACGACTACAGTGGCCCCATAACTAGTTTCCTGTTTTGGCTGCTGGTGGATTGGTCATTGAAATGACTCCTCGAACAGAGAATGCCATGCAAACCCGTTACCCTGGCCTCTACTGATTGTGCTTGATTTCTGGTATGTTCATGTTAATAGATCTTGACTATACTAGCCTTGTAAGTCCTTTAGCCCACTAAGCTGATTCTTGCCTTGAGGCCTATGTATAAGCTGTTCTCTGGGATGGTTTTTTATATACCTCAAACAGGTTACCTCAGAACCGGTCTCCTGTACATTTGTTGGGCTGCTGTTCTGTGGCACCATTTTCTGAAAATGCACATTTGTCTTACTGCATTAAAATAAGCACCAGAGGGGGCAGGGATTGGTCTCTCCACACTTGGTGTATACCCTCAGGTTAATGCGGGTGAGTACCTCTTCAGGCCACTGCCAGCAGCTCTGTTCTCCCAGTACCTACCTTTGGTCACATATAAGTAGAAGAAGTCGCAGTAGAAGATAGTTTGTACCACTCCAGAGACCACTGCAATTTGGTCGTAGAAATTCTCAGTCTGGTATCGCCTGATCCAGTTAGCTAGGTAGAGTGCCCGGTACAGCCCAAGGAAGAACAGGTAGTGAGTTGTAATGGTCTCGGCCTCGCCAGTCTTGCTGATCATGAACAGCTGGGGCAGGATGGCCACGGATTCCAAGTAGATGGAGAAAGTCCAGAGGATCTGAACCAAGGAGAGAATGGCCAGAGGAGGTTGGTCAAGACCAAAAAGGGGATCCCTTTCTCAAAAAAATTTCTGAAATATGTTTACTGGAGAGAGTACAGTGGAATAGTAGATCATGTTAATTTTTCCTATTTTAGTGTATCATTCCACCCTACTTAAGCATGCTTTTTTACACAACAGCATGAACATTCTATAACTCATAATTTTTAATTGTTGCAGAGTTTTATTGTATAAACTCGCCTTAGTTGCTAGTTTCTCAAAATACAGTTTGAACATGAGCTTCAGAACCTCCTGTGTGCCCCACAGGTTCTTGGGCCACAGCTCAGACTGCGGGGTTGAACTCGGCCTGGACTGTGCTGTAGTGCCCTCCATCACCTGTGGGACGGGTCTCGAGCCTTAGGCAGGGCTGTGATGCTTAGTGTGTGAGCATCACTATTTAGATAGGCCCCTTTCAAATGGCACAGCGTGGGTAGCTTGGTGCTAATTTCTAGACTTACAGCGTAATGATGTAATAGTCACAGTTCTAACAAAGCAAGCCATTCCCCAACCCCTCCGCAAAATACAAGCCCAGACACAACTGCAGCCCAGGGGGCGGGACAGCCTTTGAGAATCAGCCCCCGAGGCCCCTTTCCTTACCTCCAGGGGAGTGAAACTGTAATTCTCAAGGAAAGAGAGGCCGATGACTGGGACCAGGAGAAACTCCAGGCGGAAGGTGTCATTCTCACTGTCAAAAGTTTTCCGAAACTTCCCATAGATCATGTACACTGTGACGTAAGCACAGAGGAGAAAAACCACCTGGTGGGGGGGAGGGGTGGAGAGAGACACGTGAAGATTGATGAAGTCGTTTCCCAACCTCTTTGCGGGGCTCCAAAGCCGCCCTGAGTCGGGGCCTGCCACACCTCATGGCAGTGCTCTGCCTTCAGGTGGAAGAGGTGGAACGCACCTGTCATTTTTCTGAGGCCCAGCAGCCTAGAACCTGAAGGTAATGGCCCTTTGTCATATGCTTCCAGTTGGGACTGGCAGTGCTACCGTGAAGACCCAAAGGTGCCCAGGCATCTCCTCACAGTAACGCGTTAGAGGAGCCCGGGTTGGTCTTCGTGGGGGTCTTCAGCAGTGGCATCCCTGGGCACTTCCAAAACCTCCCCTTGCTGGGTGGGCAGCAGTGGCGGGGCGTTCTTTCACGGGGGCTCGCAGCCGTTGATCACTGCTCCTGCGGAAAAGCTCGCCCTCTAATTCACGGCACCTGTCCTCCAGCCTACGCTTCTGGCCTCAGACCTTCCACGCCAGAGGTTCTCAGGCTTGGATGTCCATCAAAATCACACAACTGACTGCCCTGCTCCCAGTTCCGGCTTTGCTAGGTCAGTGGGCCTGAGGATTTAAATTTCTAGCAAGTTTCTACGGGATGCTGACGCTGGTCTGGGACTGCACTGGCCTAAAGAATTATTTGTACTGCAGAAACTCAGGTGATTTCCTGCGAGCCTTTTCTCATGAGAACGAGGCATGCACACTCCGTCTCTGTAGGTCTTACCAGAGGTTTTACACCCTATGGAAAAGTGCCACCCATGAGCACATGTTCTGTGAATGTCTGCAACAGTGACATGTCCCCTGTGACGGGATTCCTATAAAAAGGACCCTGTCCTGTCCACGTCTGAATTTCCAGGCCCTAACTCAGGGCCCACACAACAAGTGCTGGATGAGTGAGTGAGTCAAGGAAGTGCTCATCTCTTCACCTCACAAAAACATGGAAACCAGCCTCTGCGGTGCCCAGACCCGCCAAGGGCTGGGTCTGCAGGGTACAAGCCAGACCCTCGGGCAGAGAATGGCCTAAGCAGGTGGTGTGTGCTGCTTGTGTATTGAATTTAAGTAGACAGTGATTTCAGGCCCTCAGAATGAAGTCTGCACTGACCTCAACACCCCACAGTGAACAGCAGCCTCCTGTCCACCAACCCTCGGAACAAGATGCCTGGAACCCCAAAGGGACATCTCTGAGACAGAGGAGACAGAGAACTCACTTTGGTTAAATAAATATCTTGTGGATATTCGGCACTTGACATATATGCATTTATCTCATATAATCTCCCAATAGCCCTGCAAGATGGGTAGGATTCCCTCCCATGTAGCCTTTTTTCACTTAAAACAGGACTCCTATTAGACATCGTGCCCACCTAAAAACTTCCCAGCCTCCTTTTCAGGTAAGGATGGTCAGTGACGTATATGGAAGTCACTGGGTGGAGTGTGGGAAAAGCTCCTTAGGCAGGGTTTACCCAGCTGGCAGGCATCCTATTGCTCTTTTTCTCCTTCCTCCTCCTTCCCGCGTAAAATGTGATGTAATGGTAGGAGCTCTGGCCCCCATTTTGTGACTCTAAGGCACCTTAAGGACTATATCATCTCCAGGGCCTCTTGTTTAAATATTATGAATTCAAGACTGCAACAGCAGAGTAGTAAACCAAGCATGGGACGCTATGAGCAACTGCACCGGGCACACACCCATGAGTCCCGGTCACATTCAAGACAGCAAAGCGGAAAGTTAAAAGGAATTGCCACCCCAGCCCTGGGTACCCACCTCCAGATTTTATGTTATGAGTGAGACAATAATAAACCCTTATCAAAATGACTCTTATTTTAAGTCTCTGTTACCAGTATCTAAGCAGTAACATCCTATTTTACTGACTCTGAAACCTGGCTCCTTCCACTAAACTCTTGCCTTACAGAGCTAGGATAGCAGGCAAGAAGCTCAGAAAGTGCCTCACTTCGATATAACCCAACAGTCATTGCCCAGGGCCTGTGACATGACAGCAAAGCTTGGATATGCTCAGTTATCCTGTCTGTAAAACGGCCAGGCTTCAAAGCAACAGCTTCCCATCCCAAAATTAAGTCCAAACCGTTGCCCTGCACCACTGGCCCTCGCCCATGGCGCTCCCACCACTGGCCTTCTGTCTGTCCTTTAAACACGCCATGCTTGTTTTGTCTTGGGGGGTCTTGGGGGGAGGGCGACTGAGCACCAGCTAGTCCTTCTGCCTAGAGTGTACTTTCTGACCTATACATGGCTGGTTGGTTCCTTGTGTCATTCAGCTCTCACCTTCCATGTCACCTCTACAGAAATATATATATGTTTTTAGAGAGAGGGAGAGAAACATTGATTGGTTGCCTATCGAACGCACCTCGACCAGGGACCGAACCTACAACCTAGGCATGTGCCCTGACCAGGGTTTAAACCTCGACCTTTTGCTTTGCAGGGCAATGCCCAACCCACTGAGCTGCACCGCTCAGGGCAGAAAGGCCCTGCTGGATCATACTCCCTGAATAGCCCCCTACTCATTCTCTATTTTTAAAAAAAAATTTTAAATAATTGAATATAAATCCCCTGCCCCTGACACAGAGTCCAGCACAAAACAATTGCTGGGCAAACCACCCTATTTTAATTATTTGCATAGCCTTATCCATAACCCTAACCAAAGTTTTTCTTGCTTGTTTTATTATCTGTCTCCCAGTTCAAATATAGCTCCCACAAGAACAGGAACCTCATATCCTCCTCAGGTATCTGGCTCTCAGTAGGTACTCAACAAATATTTGTTGGATGGGTGGTTGAATAAGTAAGTTCTTTGAAAGCTCAGGATAACATGTTTGATTTTTTTTTTTTTTTTGCTTATGTTTTTGATCGGTATAATAGCTAACATTTACTGAGTGTTTAATATACGACAGCTATTGTATATTTACTTTTATTACCTCATTTAATTTTCACAACAAAACTAGGATCTAGCATCTTCATTTTGCAGAGGAGGAAACTGAGGCACCCAGAGGCCTGAGGTCTTGGCCTAGCCGAGGCCCGGCAGCTGCTACGCAGCAAGGCCAGGACTCCAGCCACGTCTGCCCGGCCCCACAGCCTGGCTTGCCAAGCACTCGGCCCCGGCAGGCTCCCCCACCACGGCCTCCCACGGCCTTACCTTCATGACGGTGTTGTAGATGGAGATGAAGTTGGTGAACAGGTCCAGGTACCTGGTGGTGAAGACGAGAGCGAAAAGGATCTGGCTCTTCCCAGAGATGCCTACGGCCAGAGGGGGACAGGAGACAGTGAGGACACAGAGTCCCAGGCCCACCCACACAAGAAGCCTGGAGCCTGAGCAGGAAAGGCCTCCAGAGTGTCCAGTCGCCTTTAATGACGACGCCCTGCCCAGGGGCTGGCGCTCCAGAGAGACAGGAAGTGGCCCATCTCCTGAGCTCACACGAGTCTCTTCCTTTCGTTGGGCTGCAGCCTGTCTCCCAGCCTCCAAGTAGCCTGAACACTGAGTGCCCAGCGCCCCGTGCAAGGCCTGCCTCGGTTCCTGCCCTGCAAGGAGTGTCGCGTGGTGTCATCTGTCCCGGGGGCTGTGGGGGTGCTGAGGCTTCTGTGCTCCACCCCCAGAGCCCCACTGACAGTCCCCAAAGCCCTGCCTTCTGGAGAGCAGCTCACTGACTTTACAGGGAGGACTCACCAGAGACCAGAGCCGGTGGGGGAGGGCGCAGGGCCCGGGGAGCATTCTATTTTATTTTTCCAAATTTTAAACATTTTTTTAAAGCCTTGTTTTCTAGTCATAAACATTATGACTATTTTTACTCTTTGTAAATCAAAAATCAGAAAATATATAAAGCTGTAAATTAAAAAGCTACCATCACCTGAACCCCAAAGCCTCCGTGTGCACGCTTCCAAATCTTTGTTGGCTCCAGCATACATGTGACACACATGCACACACGTGACATGTGCAGAGGCATGGAGATGGCAAAACTGGAGTCATGCTTCCTATGCTATTCCCTTACCTGCTTTGGCCTCTTTCTTTTGGGGCTTTTTAATTAAAAAATAATTTTAGATTTACAGAAGTGTTGTAAAGACAGTCCTGAGAGTTCCCATGCACCCCTCACCTGGCTTCCTCCCTGTTAACATCTCGCACAAGCACAGAACGCTGACCACAGCTGCGAAATGAACATGGTATAGCGCCACTGACCACACACCAGGCCGCGCTGGGATTTCACCAGTGTTCACACTGATGCCCTTTTTCTGTTCCAGGATCCAATTCAGGAACTGAAGCTCCATTGAACTGGCATGCTCCCTAGTCTCCTTTGCACTACTTTGGTTTATTTACTTTTATTGATGGATTTGAGAGAGAGTGAGAGAAACATCAGTTTGTTGTTCCATGTATTGATGCATCTAGTGGTTGATTCTTGTATGTGCCCTGACCGGGGAGCAAACTCACATCTTGGCTATCGGAACAACGCTCTAGCCAACTGAGTTGCCCAGCCAGGGCTCCTTTGGGCTGCTTCTGATACAACATGGAGATGGTTTCAGAACAAGGGGAGCAGAGGCCCTGCCTCCCTTTTCTCTAGCTTTCTCAAGCCCACCGCCTCTGGAGACTTCACCAAACCACACCTGTCAATGCGCCCACGCCCCCAAAGGTCAGCTCTGCCCTCACTCAACCAAACTATCGTCCCAAACTGCGTCTGTCCTGAACCACTGTCCGCATCGCTGATTTCTCTCTGCCTCTGGCTGTTTCTGTCCTCCTCGCCACCTAAACCTCTCATCTCCCTTTGCCTTTTGCCCTTTGCCATCTCAGCCGACATGCCAGGGATGCTCCAGCTTCAGACTCTCCTCCCGTTCTGACCTATATATTCCTGCCTGGCCAAACCCACTCTTTCCCCTGAACCCCCGCCTCTTCCTGTCTCCCTCCCTCATCAAGGCCATCGTGCCCTCCAATGCTAAGGCCAGAAAACCAAGAGGTGTCCTTGAGTCTCTCTCCCTTTGTCCCTCCCACTCCCTGCTTCTCAGCTCCACAGCTCCCACTCCGGTGCCCCTCACTCAGCCCAGCCACCCCACCTCGGTGACCCCCCAGCGAGTTTTCCCAAGTTTTTCCTTGTTGCCCATCCCTCCCCCAATTCCACCCAGCAACCAGTGGGCTATTTGTAAAATAAAGTTCTGCTTAAAGCCCTTCAGTGGCCCCCAAGTGCCCTTAAAATGAAGAACCAAATCCTTATGGCTCGGGAGGGCCTGCCTGGGTCGTCCCTGGGGCCCCATCTGATCGCTCTCCTCCTCGCTCCCTCCCTGCAGGCCTGGCGGGATTTTATCCTAAATGTAATGGAGCAACTGGGCACTGAGAAGGGATATTACCTGATTCAGGGTCTGGTTCCTTCACACACACAAGGTTTTTATTTATTTATTTTTAGAGAGAGGGGAAGGGAGGGAGGGAGAGAGAGAGAAAGAAACATCAATGTGAAGGAGAAACATTGATCAGTAGCCTCTTGGGCTCACCCCGACCGCACTGAACCCGCAGCCCAGGTATGAGCCCAGACACCCAACGAACTGAGCCACGCCGATTGGGTCAGGGCGGGGAGAGGAGATGGATCTTCTTAATTACTGAGGATGAACACGGCTGAGGCCCCTAACATTCTGGAGAGCGCTGGGTCTGGGTCCAAGCTGCCTACCAGCATGGCAAGCCTGAGCCCCGCTGTCCTTATCTGTGAAATGGGCACCTTCACACAACGGGGCAGGGCTGGTGTGCGGACTAAGGGGGACGCAAGGGGAATGTGAGTGCCTCCCTGGGGGTCTGGCACTGCAGCCGGGTTGAGAGTGAGCCCCCTAGGGAGCCCATACCGACCAGCTCTGGGGAGTGCCTGTTGCTGCGCCACCCCCACCCCCTCTGTTCAGGAGGTTCCCCGGGAGGCAGCCCTGGTGGCGGATGCTTGGCCACCCCTCTGACTGACCTCCCGCCTTGCCCTCTCCCCATCTTCAGCCTGCCAGGCCCCTGAGCTTCACTCACATGTTCCCCGGTGACTGCGAGCCCCGATGACTTAGAGCGCGGTGGTTCTCCCACTCTTCTGAAAGCAATGACTAATTTCCACAAAAGCCGGCTGAGCATGGAGACGCAGGGCACGGAAGAGAACGTGAGAGGCCCTGAGGGCTCCTAAGCACATTGGGGACCACTGACCAGATGCAGCCCTCCCTCCCCAGTGACAGATGAGAAAACTGAAGCCCAAGGTCACACACTGAGTCAAGGGCAGAGCAAGACAAAGCCCCAGTCCTTGCTGCCTTCAGGGGGGTCACAGCGGGCCCTGCTCCTCGGGGCTGACAGTGCCTGGCCTCCAGGCCCCTCACCTCCGCAGACTTCAGCCAGGCCGGGCCGATCCCTCTGCACACACGCAGGCTGTCCTTTCTCTCCCCATAGCCCTGAGCTGAAAAATCCTATCACTTACTCAGTTGCTACCACTGTTGCTTGTAGGCGGTCTCCCATGGCTAGAAAGCCTGCTTCCGCAGCCTGGGGTCCTGTCTGTGGGCTGGGCCGGGCCGGGCCGGGGGCAGCGCCCCTCCTGGTTGCACTTGTGCACCCGGCCCAGGGTCCGCCATGGCAGTGCAGGGAGAAGCCCAAGCAAACCAGGCTCTTCACCCGCCGAAGCCTTGTGCCCCCCCCCTCGCCCCGTCTCCCCTCCCAGCATTCCTGGGTCCCCTCCCCGTAGGAGGAACTGTGAGTGCCTATCTCTTCAGAAACCTCAAACCAGGGTGGCCCTGCAATCATTCCCTCTGCAACGACCCTCCAATTGGCACCCACCTCTCAGTGCCACCAAGCCTCCCGAGCTGGTGGCCTCCACACTGCCCCCTCTGCCTCCGCTCTAGGAGCCTCCGCACAGCTTCCAGGTCCCCTTCCAAGACCCATGCCCTTGCTCCCAAACCTCCCATGGCTCCCCAGTCCCAGCTCCCTAGCTTGACAGAGAGGGCCCTGTCGCATGTAGACCATCCTCCCCCTAGACTCACCTCCCTCCCGGACCACCCCCAAATTGAGCTGCTCACCCTTCCAGGGACATGCCCTGCTCTCTGCGACCTCTGCACTTTGCACCCCCATGTCCTCCACACAGCACACCCTTCTGGGTGACACCCTGCCAATCCCCCAGGACCCAGCCCAGAGCAGCATCGTCCGAGACGCCTTCAAGGGTTGGCTCTCTGCCTTCCAGCCCCCACTAGGAGCCTACGCTCATCTCTGTACCCCCTCACCCCAGCGCCGAGCCCAGGGCGACGCCTGCAGGACCCCAGCAGACAGAGGTGGCCACAAGGGGCCTGGGCAGCCTCTTAATGTCTGGGCCCAAGAGGGACCCCTCCTGTGCTCCCCAGGCTTCTTCTCAGGGGCAACTCCATGCCCACCTGGGCGAGGCTTGGCCCCTCCTGCCTCATCAATGCGGGGTTGGGGTGGGGACAGAATGGAAAGACAGAGTTGGGGCAGCTGTGTTCACACCTCCTCTGCACCACCCCCCACCTCTGCCCCTGCCCGGGCCCTTCCACCCTGGGCCTGAGTGAAGGTAGAGAGAACAATGGGCCTGGGAGGGAGGTGTCACCTCCCCTTATCCCCTCCCCTTCCAACTAGCAGTGGCAAAGGGGAGGGGCTGGGAGGGCAGTGAAAAGCACAAGCCCACCCAGTCTCCAAGTCCTGCTCTTTGATATGGTACAACTTTAAATTTTCTTTGGAAGCCAAGCTGTGCAAACTGTTTCACCCCCCAGCCCAAGTCCCCACCCTGAACAGACATCAGGAGGTCCCTCCCAAGCCCTGCAGGCAGAGGGTGTGGAGTGGGCCAGCAGAGGCGAGGCGGCCCAGGCCCTGGGACCCTCCACCTCCCGCCGGGGCCGCCCTCACCTGTGCAGCACTTGGACCTCCAGATCTTCCCCAGCAGCAAGATCATGGCCAGGAGGTGGCTCAGGTCGCCGAGGATACGGAACACGTTCATGGCCCAGCCCGCCGGCCCCGCACCCGGGCGCAGCCAACTCCTGGGAAACTTTCTGGTGGGAAAGGCGGCTGCCACGTCCCCGGCCCGGCCCGGCCTGTGGGTCCCGCGCGCCCCTGTCCGCGCCTCCGAGCTCCGAACTCCGCCCGGGTGCCACCGCTCTGCCAGCGCGCTCTCGGCCGGGCGGTGACGTGGCCAGGCCGGCCGCCGAGCTTGGGAGCCAGGAAGCGTCGCCGCCCGACGGCCCGCCCCCGGCCCGTCCCAGAGCCTTGGCTCCCGGGCGGGCGGGGCGGCTGGCCAGCCGGGGGTTTCCGGTCTGGGCTCGCAGCCGCCGCCGAGGCCGTTCTGTGCAGCGAGGGGCTCGCCCGTCCCGCACCGCCGATGCCGAGAGGTGGCCTCCTGGAGGCCGGGAAATGCCTCCCCTCCTCAGAACCCGGGGTCCTCCCGCAGGTGACCTCGGGCAAGCCAATGGCCCCCCCTCTCTGCCTCAGTTCCCTCATCCGTACACAGCGCTAAAAACACCAGTGCCAGTGGGGAAGTGCGGGCCTGCCTGCCAGGGCTGACATGAGCCTAGCAGCTTGGACGCACCATGTACACGGGGACCGCTTCTATTGTCCTCGGTGCGGGGGGCGGGGGGTTGAGCCCTCCTCCTTGGGCCTGGTGGGCTGAGAAGAGCTGGAGGCCAGTCTCCCGCGCCGCCCTGTTTATTAGAATAGCCATCTTGTCCTGACCTGACTTATGGGAGGGGAGCGGTGGCGCCCTAAGGCCTCCTAGGATTGGAGTTGGGGTGACCTCACTAATGTTTCCTTCCTCCTGGTATGACGAGATGTAAAACAGGAGCACAGGTCCTGACTGGTGGCCCAGAGGGTTGGGCTTTGTCCCTACAACCCAGGGGTTGCCCGGGCAAGGCACAGGCCTACGTGGCAGGCCAGGCCCCGGGCTGGGGGCATGTGAGAAGCAAGTGATCCGTGTTTCTCTCACTCATTGATGTTTTCTCCCTCCCTTCCCTTCTCTCTAAAAATAAATAAATAAATAAAATATTTAAAAAAAAAAAAAACACAGCAGGAGCACGGGCCAGGAGAGAGTCCAGGGGGCTGGAGGTGTTGGCGAGGAAGCAGGGAGGCAGGAAGGGTGAAGGGCGACCAACCAGGCGTGGCGGGGAGTCCTCCCAGTGCTGTGTGGTCGGAGCAGTTCAGCCACCCTCTCTGGGCCTTGGTCCCTGCGTCTGTAGGAGTGGGCCACTTGAGTCAAAGGGCCTTACAACCACTGCCCCTTTTCCCTTCCTCCACCCTGGACCTTAATCTCTCCCTAAATTATTGGCCTCCCACGCCCTCTACTCATGCCCCTTCATCGCCCCTCATCATGGCTTCCTGGGCACGGTGGTCCTTGGAGACTCAAAATGTGGTCCCAGGACCAGCTCATCTGCTTCACCTGCTGGGAATGCAGGATCCCAGACCCTGCCCCACACCTACTGAATAAGAATCTTTGGTTAAACAAGACTACTGGGCCCTAACTGGGGTGGCTCAGTGGATTGAGTGCCAGCCTGCAAACCAAATGGTTGCTGGTTCGACTCCCAGTCTAGGTCGCATACCTGCGTTGCGGGCCTGGTTTCCAGTGACGGAGGTGCCGCGCGAGAGGCAACCGCACATTGATGTTTCTCTCCTTCCCTTTCCCCCTCCTTCCCTCTCTCTAAAAATGAGTAAATAAATAAAATCTTGTCTTTAAAAAGTTAATTCTTGTGCACATGAAAGCTTGAGAAGCACTCACCCGAACAACACCACACCACCACCAGAGAGGTACTATTATTATTCCCATTTCACACTGGGGAAACTGAGGCATGGAGAGGTGAAGTGGTTTGATTAAGGTCACACAGACACTAAAGAGTAGAGCCTGGATTCCAGCCCTTACTCTGACTTCAGGGTTCACGCAACCGACTCATTACATTACACTGGGTTGTCTAGGGAAGGCGATGAGTTCCCTGTTGTGAGAAGTGGGGGAGCAGGGGGTGAGGTCCCATTTGTCAAGGATGCTGCTGCAGAGGGGACTCCTGCCCTGTCTCCCGGGTTGGGATAACAATAGCAATCAAGTGGTGAGTACCTCCTGGGTGCCAGCACGGTCAGACACGTTAGTAAGGTTCCCTCCATTCCGCCTCAGCAGGCACCCTCTGAGCAGGCGTTCAGTCCGCGCGCTGTGCAGGTGGCCGCTGCGGAGGCTTCGGGAGGTGAAGTGGGCGGTCCCAGTGCCTCTGGGAGGAGGAGCCAGGCGCCCATCCCCGCCCAGAGGCCTCCCCTGCAGCTAGTGCTGCGAGAAGGCGGTGGCTATTTAAATACCTCAGGTGCGGCTACAGTTCTCCCTGTCCCACCAGCTGGCCTCTCCTTCCCGGCGCCTGCCTCCTCCCCACGCCAGGGAAAAGCGCGTCCATTTGCCATTTGGTGAAACATCTGCCCTCCTGAGAAGCAACTCCAACTGCCAGCGGGGCTGGAACACGGGGCTAGAGTCCTCCTCTTCCCTCTGCTTCTCCAGGGGGGCCGCAGAGGAACCGGCCAAGGCCGGTGGGAGGGGGGTTCTGAGGAGTGACCACTGCGATGGTGAAGGGGAAAGAAGCCGGGCTAAGTGGCCCCAGGGCCAGGGGCTCATTGTGGCCGCTGTGGCCTTGAGCCTGAACTCAGCTTTCCCCTGTTAATGGGGATAAAGAGGACAGATGCATTGCTGACTGGCTGCTTGGCGCTCTTGGTATCGTCTTCCCTATCAAATCCACGCTCCCTATATCTCAACACAGGGAGCTCATGCCCCACATTTTACAGACGAGGAAACTGAGGCTCAAACTTGTCTCTCGCTTCCCCACGTCCCGTAGAGCTCCTGTCCCCAGAGTTCACCGCTCTGTCCTTGGTCATCAGTCCTGCCTGCTCCGTACCCGGCCCATCTTCAGGGCGGAGCGCTTTTCAAACACGCCCCCCCCCGCCCCTCCCATGGGGAGGAGAGAAAATCCTATTCATTTAAAACTTGGCTTTCGGCTGTGCCAGCGCATTGGCCACCTGCACCGTCAGATACTATTTGTCCCTGATGCCAGGTGGTTCCAGACAAGTTCCTCATTCCTCACCCCTTCACGCCTTACTTTTCCGACACTTAAAATGTGTCTGCTGTGAAAAGGCAATTGAGGAGAAGCCAGAAGGGAAATTTCCTTCGGCTCAAAGGGCAAGGATTCTTTCCCTTTTTTTTTTCCCCATGAACAAAGCTAAACGTATGTTCAAAGTCAGATTTATGGAAGAGAGAATGGGGGACTGTTCAACTATATATATATTTTTAAAGTATATGTAGCCCTGGCCGTGTGGTTCAGTTGGTTAAAGCATCCTCCCTACACCAAAAAGCTGAGGTTTCTATCCCCGCTCTGGGCACATATTGAGGTTGAGGGTTCTATCCCTGGTCGGGGAGAGTTCAGGAGGCAACCGAGTACTTACTCTCTCTCTTTCTCTTATTCTCCCTCCCTTCCTCTCTCTCTCTAAAATCAGTAAACATATCCTCGGGTGAGGATTTTTTTTTTAAAGTGTGCGTAATCTTTTTTTCCTTCCTGGTTCTAGCCCTTTGGTATATTTCACCAATGTATTCGAATATCCTGTCAACTGCCCCCAACTGTGCAGAAGGAAAGTGTGAAAATCACCATCTTGAGGACATTCACCACTTAATCTGTGCCTCTCCCCCGGCAGGGCCCTGGAGAGAAGGGGGAGCTAGGGGCCGGGCATCCTGGGGCCCCCTTCAGAGCCCCTGGGGTCGCTATAGGTTCTTCTGGCCTCGGCAAGCGGACGCTTCCCCGTGGAAGGAATGAACTCCTCCCAGTTAGCCCCGAGGTCCGCCCGGGAGACGCGGACGAGTCCATTCCCTCACTGAATGGGGTGGGCTGAGGACGGACTGTCTCCTCTGGTCCCGCCTCAGATGATCGCGAAGCTTTTCCTCCCCTGTTCCAATATCTTTTGAGTGACATGCGGGCCCCATTTTTACAGAGCTGGGAAAAACAAGGTTCCAAAACTCTTCTCCACTGTTAGTTTCAAACACATTTATTGAAGACCAGCTGTGAGCAGTGCGCTTTGCAGGTTGAATTTAGAGGCAGCCTCGAGGAGCCTTTGGGTGCACTGTGGGAAGTGGGTGCTTGTACGTATCACAGAGGAAAGAGTCTTACCCTGGGTTCGGGGGGATCGCCAGGGAGGATTTCAGTTAGGAAAACTCCAGAGGATGCCCTGGTGGGTTTTGAAGGATGAGTAAGAGCTTGTTTGCCTCAAGGACAAGAGGGGAATAGAGCCCCGAGTAGAAGGAACTACATGCACAACAGAAATATGATACGATGTGCTATCCCAGTGCACTTTATTTGTATGGCTCCTTAAAAGAGACCAATGACCAGGGGGTGGGGATGGAGATAAACATCGAGGTTGGAAAGACCTTCGTGGGAGTCTCAGTCTCTGTCATTTGGGTAATTTATTCAAATCTCTTGAAGTCACAGTGTTCTCATCGGTAACCTGGATATAAACCAAGTAGTACTGACTTCACAGGGTAATAGGTTAGCTCAGTATCTAGAGCGCTTTGCAAAGAGTAAACCACGACAAACACCAGTCCTTTGTTCCTTTTTACAGGACATCTGGGCCCATGGAAGGACGGGAGAAGACACAGAAATTTTGTGTTCTCGGAAAGGTGATCACTCTCTCGCCGATTTATTCCCGTAGAAGTGCAGCAGAGACAATGAAAAATAACCTCTCGGCTCGAGGAAGCCTTCTGGGGCGCTAGAAGTTGTATCTTGATCTGAGTGGTGATTACACGGGTTTTATATATATGTAAAAATAATCCATCTGTACTCTTAGGATGTATGTATTAAGTTACACTGTAAATTAAAAAAAAAAAAAGTCTAGCCACGACGCGGCCCCCTCGCCTGGCCCCTGGCGACAGGTGTCTCTGAGATTCTAAAAGCCACTTTCCGCGTGCGGCGCAGGCCCAGCGCCCAATGCCAGTAGTCGCGCACCGCGCGCCGCACGCCCAGGCCTCGGCGAGGTTCCCTAGGCAACCGCATGCCGCTCGCCGCGTCTCCCGAGTGACGAGGCGCCAGCGAAGACCCGGACCCCGGATTTAGGAACCGGAGCCACGGAACTCGGCTGGAGGGACACC